CTTGAAAATTATCTTTTAATTACTGAGTTTTAAGAATTTTTCATGTATTGTGGATGTAAGTCCTTTGTCAGATAAATGATATTTTCCCAGTATCTTGGTTGTCTTTTCTCTCTTTTTTTTTTGGCTGCGCTTTGCAGCATAGAGGGTCTTCGTTCTCCGACCAGGGATGAAACCTGTGCCCCTGTATTGGGAGTGCAGAGTCTCAACCACTGGGCCACCAGGGAAGCCCGTCTTTTCATTTCCTTTCTTTCTTTTTGGCTGTGCTGGGCCTTCGCTGCTGCGCGCGGGCTCCCTGCAGTTGTGGTGAGTGGGGCTGCCCTTTGTTGCAGGGCTTCTCACTGCTGTGGCTTCTCCTGTTGTGGCGCGTGGGCTCTCGGTGCATGAGCTTCAGTAGTTGTGGCATGCAGCCTCAGCAGTTGGCTTGTGGAATCTTCTAGACCAGGGATGGAATCCATGTCCCCTGCTTTGGCAGGTAGATTCTTCTCCATTGTACCACCAGGGAAGTCCATCTTGTCCCTTTTTTTTTGGATGATGCCTTTGGAGCACAAAAGTTTTTAATTTTGATGAAGTCGGAGCGCTCGCTGTGCCTGCTCTGTGTGAGCCTCGACTCCGGGGGCAGGTATGGAAGCAGGAGAGCAGTTGTTCCAAGGACCACAGGGTGGTCCAGGTGAGAGGGGGTGCTGGCTTCAGCTCGGGCATGGCCACAGGGCTGGTGAGAAGGGGCCAGCGGGAGGCAGCTGGGAGACAGAGCTGGTGGAACACGGTGAGGGATTGCTGTAGTGGGAGGGACGGAGAGAGATCAGATGGATGCTGGATTTCAGCTTAGATAATTTCAATCAGCTGCCTGTTGCCTGCTGTAGAATTACCGCCGTTCTTAATGGTGCTTGGCAGGTGAGTCCTGTAGTCCCTTCTCAGACACTTGAAGTGGCTTTTTGTTGTATGATCACTGTGCCAAGGAGATGGCCCAGGGACCCTGACCTTCTACATCATCCTCTAACATCTCCTAAGCCGCCTCCAACAAACATGTCGTGTACGTTAGAATAGTGTGCCTGCCCTGCGGGTGCAGCTTTGAGGCGAATCCTTTGCCCCCTTCTAACCAGACTGCAGTTTCCAAGCTCCCGTGTGGAGATTGTGGAGCTCTCAGCGAATGGTGTCAGTTTAAGTGAATGGGTTTTTGAAACCTAAATGTCATAATTTGACAGAGCTACTTTGAGGGAAAAGGCTTTAAAGGAGGAAATAACATTCGCTGACTTTTGTGCAGTGCTTGGCACTTCTGCCTGCTTCCTTGGAGACCTCATCGGCTAGAGCAGAAATGAAAACACCAGGAAAATTCCGTTTTTTGAGTCTACTGTGTTCTCTGTAGTTTTTTTAAGTATAGTCATTAAAAATCTTATTCTAAGGGAATATTTAATGACGTGGCAAATGCTCATGATTTATTAACTAAAAATCTGTGTTTGTCTGTACACATTTATAACGTAGCATATCTCTGATGGGATTATGAGTGGTGTTTATTTCATTCTTTGCGCCTTCCTATACTTCCACATTTTTTGAGAGTGACCGTTCATTTCTTACTCATTTCTTGTTTGGGGCTGTGCTGGGTCTTCATTGCGGCTCGGGGGCGTCTCTGATTGTGGGGAGGGCTTCGCTGTCCTGTGTCCTGTGGGATCAAACCCACGCCCTCTGCATTGCACGGCGGGTTCTCAGCCCGACCACCAGAGAAGTCCCGATGGAGAACACTTCTCACTTGTAAAAAATAAAGTTTAATTTTAAAAGCTCCTAGGGCGCATCTGTGCGTGCACGCGAGAAGGAAGCACAGCGTTTCCTGCTCTGGTGCTGCCTTTCCTATGGAGACAGAGAGGAGACTGTGGGAATGAGACCCACATTTCTCGCCAGTGAAGTGGAGGTAACAGTGGTCAGTGATGCCTACCTCCTGAAGGTTTTTGTGAGGATTTAATGAGTTCCTGTGCTGAAATAGTTTCCATTAAGTAATTATGTTTGCTGTTACCATTATTGCTATTTGCACTGTTATTTTGGCTTTCATGTCCCATGTCCTTATAATGGTCTGCGTGCTTTCCCAAGGTGACTGACCGTGGCTGTTCTCTCTAGAGTTTGCCTGATAACCACTTCATTTTCACTTGATTTTGGGGTCATGTGGGTCTTGCCCACCTCTCTGGAGTACTTAGACAAATCGAGGACTGGGGAGCATGTGCATTGCTTAGCTAAGACAGCTTTGCCCTTACAGACTTGTCAGTTTATGAACTACGTTCCTGTATGGCCAGGATCAACATTCACTGTCAAAGTTTCCGTTGTAGCAGCCTCTTGCCTCAACAACAGCAAAGCTGTTGAATCCGTGTGACCCTAGGCACGTTTCTGAACCTCCCAGAGTGCCTCAGCTCCTGCTGAAAGAGGGCGCATTCGTGTTCTTAACCGTCACTTGTGCTTGTGCTTAGTCCTCAGTCGTGTCCGACTCTCTGCGACCCTGTGGACTGTAGCCCGCCAGGCTCCTCTGTCCATGGGATTCTCGAGGCAGGAATAGTGGAGTGGGTTGCCTTGCCCTCCTCCAGGGGATCTTGTAAACCCAGGGATGGAACCCAGGTCTCCTGCATTGCAGGTGGATTCTTAACCATCTGAGCCCCCAGGGAAGCCGAAGAATACTGGAGTGGGGAGCATGTCCCTTCTCCAGGTTAACTTCCTGACCCAGGAATCGAACCAGGGCCTCCTGCATTGTCGGCACATTCTTAACCAGCTGAGCTTCCAGGGAAGCCCCCTCATCAGCACAGAGGGCCGTTGTTATTTACTTACAGCAACCGTGCTTGTAAGTTACCCTGCCTACTTCACTGTACGTCTTGTCTGTTGTGACTATCAAATGAAATAGGGATTTGAAAAAGCCTTACAATCTAGAGGATTTTTATTCCAGCGTTGAACTAGGGCCATACTGGAGAAAAAATGAGATTTTGCTTCTTTTCCATTCTTGCACTCATTCCTCCCTTGCAAATTTACCTTTTTCATAACTCATTCATTTATTCAATAAATACCTGGTGCCTCTGATGTACCTGAACCTTTTCTGGGTGCCAGGGGCTAGAAGGGTGAGTGAGGTGGATGTGTGGGCTCTGCTTTTGGGGTGGCTTACACCAGTGGGGGGTCAGAAAGAGAAGGCCATCAACAGGAGAGAGAATGTGTGGAGAAAGTGCAGCAGGGGTGGGGGTGTGATGGAGAGTCCTGTGGAAAGGGCTCAGGACTGCTCAGTTGGTAAAGAATCCCCCTGCGGTGCAGGAGATCCCAGTTCGATTCCTGGGTCGGGAAGATCCCCTGGAGAAGGGAAAGACTACCCACTCCAGTGTTCTGGCCTGGAGAATTCCATGGACTGTATAGTCCATGAGGTTGCAAAGAGTCAGACATGACTGAGCAACTTTCAGTTGCAGGACTTGAAGGGCGAAAAGGCGTAGATTCAGGTCTTGTCCATGGGCCTTGGACAAGTCCTGTGGTCCTCTGGCCCTCAGTAGCTCATGTAAAAGTTTGTAGGTTAAGGATTTAATGGATGAGTGAGCGCTTCATAAATTATAACACTGTGATGATTGAGCGTCTTTATTGAGGGAAGCTTTTTCTTTTAAGTTATCTGTTTATGGCTGTGCTGGGTCTTGCTGCTGGATGGGCTCTTCTCTAGTTGCAGCAAGCAGGGGCGGCGCTCTCGCTGTGGTGTGCAGGCTTCTCTCGCTGCCAGAGCACTGACTCTTGCGCGTGGGCTCAGCTGTGGCGGATCCCGGGCTTGGGAGCACAGGCTCAGTAGTGGCGATGGGGCTTAGTTGCTCTGTGGCATCTTCCTGGATCAGGGATTGAACCCGTGTCTCCTGCATTGACAGGCAGATTTCTTACCACTGAACCCCTGGAGAAGTCCAAGGGAAGCTTTGAATCCACATTTCCAAGAGGTGTGGGTGTCAGGATGACAAGAGGGGAGGAGCTGTGTGGCTGAGGAGGCTGTGGGCGTTTCTCCACCACCTCCACATGGTATTCCTCTGTCTGGACTGGCCCACTGCTCTCCTAGTGCAGTGTCTTTACTGTTTCTTTTACACATTATTATTATTATTATCTTTTTGGCCGCATGGCATGTGGGATCTTATTTTCCCAACCAGGGATCGAACCCATGCGCCCTGCAGGGGAAGCACAGAGTCCTAACCACTGGGCTGCCAGGGAATTCCTCTTTTCCATGTTCTCTGCTTCCTGGTGGGCTCCAGAGTTTCCAGTGTTTTCAGAGAAGCTTTCTCCACTCTCTGGTCCACGCTTGCTCTCTCCTTCTTCTCATTGAGACTCACAGGTTAGCACCAGTCATATCTGGTTTTGTGTCTTTTCAGTTTCTTTTGCCTCCCTGACTAGATCATAAGCTGCTTGAGATTCAGAGCTATATTTAATATTCTTCCCACCCCTTCCCCACCATTTATCACGATATAAATTACAGGGGGCAGAAAATACTGAAGTGAGTTTCGACTTAGGGTTTTGTTCATTTATTCATTTATGACTGTGCCGGGTCTCCGCTCCTTTGTGCGGGCTCCCTCTACTTGCAGCGAGCGGCGGCTCCTCTGGTCGTGGTGCCCGGCCTCTCGCCACAGAAGCTCTCCTGCTGTGGAGTGAAGGCGCGGGAGTTGCGGCTTGAGGGCTCCCAAATGCAGACTCAGCCCTGGTGGTGCGTCGGCGTGTGGGATCTTTAGGACGAGGGGTCAGACCCGTGTCCCCTGCACTGACAGGTGGATTCTCACCCACTGAACCCCAGGGAAGTCCTCAGAATTAATCTTAATGGCACTTGGTTTACCTTCCCTGTGGAATTAAGCTCTGACGATAATTTATACCCACCTGAAAGCCCCTCATTCCCACTGTGAAACCTGATTTGTCTTTGCATGACTAGACATCGAAAGCGTTACAATGCCTTGTTCTTCAGCCCCAGGTCTCCCCAGATGCCGGTTAAGATCTCTCGTCCTGCCTGAAGGTCAGCGGTGGAGACCTTGGCCATGGCGTCTGTGTCGGAGCCCATTACCTTCAGAGAGTTCTGCCCGCTGTACTATCTGCTGAATGCCATCCCCACGAAGATCCAGAAGGGCTTCCGCTCGCTGGTGGTCTATCTCACGGCCCTCGACACCAACGGGGACTACATCGCAGTGGGCAGCAGCATCGGCATGCTCTACCTGTACTGCCGGCAGCACGGCCAGATGAGGAAGTACAACTTCGAGGTGGGCGCGCTCATGTCCCCCTGAGCCAGGGCCCTGGCTGGTGTGTGACACGCCTGTGAGTCCAGGGTGGGGGGGTTGCTTCCGAGCTACTTCCGAAGCATGGCCTGAGTGTCCCACCCGAAGAGTACCTTACAGCCGTCCTTCAGGTGGAGTGCAACTAAAAATGCAATGTTTGAACTTGTTTTTCTTGCCTCCAGAAATCCAGCATTAATTGTTCCAATTTTAGCATATGTGCTGCCGAAGCGAGCACCCAGCATTACTTTAAAAGAGAGCATTACAGTGTTTAACACTTTGAAAAGAGGCACAATTTTCTAAGTTTTTTTTTTCTTCTTCTTCTTCTTTTTAAAAAATTTTTTGGCCATACCATGTGGCATGCGGGATTGGACTCGGATCCCCTACAGTGGGAGCACAGAGTCTTAACCACTGGATCATCAGAGAAGTCTCTCTGAGTGTTTTCTGAGAGTACTTTGACTGATTGGCTCTCAAATAATCTAGGTATTATAGCAAAATTAAGAAAAATGGATCAGGATCAGTGTTGGCTAGGTGCCGGAACATGTATGCGGACTCTGCTGTAGCGCCCTGCTGTTGGGGTCCTGGCCGACCTCTGTTCTGGGTTGCTGCCTCAGGCATCTCTGTGTGTTGTAGATGCTGGGGATGGACCATCTCCGTACTCACCTGTTTCGTTAGTACCTGTGATTTATAAGAACATGGGCTTTGTGAGAGACGCAAGGGTGACCACATGGGGCTCTACACTGTGCTTAGTGGACTTTTGCAGACTAAGACAAGGCTTTTGTATTTAAGAGAAGTATTTACAAATATCAATATTTTAATCAGTATCGACTTATTAAAGTTTAATTTATAAAGTTGGTTTTTCTTAAGCCTCTGTAGTCAATTAAAATAACACAAATGGTTAGCATCCATATAGTACTTACTATGTGCCCGGCATTATTCTAAACCCTCTACATATATTAACTCATTTTATCCTCACAGAATTCTACGAGGTAGACAGAACAGCTCTATGTTGTTTTGTCATCTCCGTTTTATCAGGGAGACAACTGAGGCTCAGAGAGGTTGAGTGACTTGCAAGATAGTCAGAAAGTGGTGACACTATGGTCTGAACTTGGGCAGATTGACTCTGGAGTTTGTATTTTTTGTATGAAAATTAAAACTATTGCTGTTTCTTTTCTTGATTAATAGGGCATGGGTTTGACTGATCTAATTCCCCAAATGATTAAGACCACTATATAGTTAATCTTTTAAAACTATGGCTCTGAATTGTTGTCTTTGTTCAGTCGCTCAGTCGTGTCCGACTCTTTGTGACCTCACGGACTGCAGCACGCTAGGCTTCCCTGTCCTTCACCACCTCCCAGAGCGTGCTCAAACTCATGTCCATTGAGTCGGTGCTGCCATCCAACCAGCTCATCCTCTGTCGCCCCCTTCTCCTCCTGCCCTCAGTCTTTCCCACCATCAGGGTCTTTCAAATGACTCCGTTCTTCGCATCAGGTGGCCAAAGTACTGGAGCTTCAACTTCAACGTCAGTCCTTCCAATGAATATTCAGGGTTGATTTCCTTTAGGATTGACTGGTTTGATTTCCTTGCTGTCCGATAACTATGAATTAATCTGAAGTCTCTCACATAGTTCAGTTCTGAACAAGGAAAACTTAATGACTCCAGCAGTGACCGCCCCCTACACAGGATAGAGCAGAGAAACCCATGCCCAGACACATTCTAATCAAACATCTAACAACTCAAGACAGAAATCTTAAAAGCGGCCAGAGAAAATGACACATTACTTGTAGAGGACAATTACTTGAATGATGGGAAGTCTCATCGGAAACTAGAAGATGTTGGTGTAGCATGTATAAAGTGTTGAAAGAAAAGAATTGTCAGCTCATAATTTTTATCCAGCAAAAATATCTATTAGGAAAGAAGGTGAAATAAAAATGTTCTCGGATGAAGGAAAACTAAAGGCATTCATTGCCAGCACACCGGCTCTAAATAATTGCTTCAGGAAGTTCTTTAGACAAATGATAATTGATACCAGAAGGAAACTTGGAACACCAGTAATGAAGGAAGAATAATAGTAAATACACTAGGCTGTTTCCCTCCTCTTGAGTTTTTTTAAAATATATTTGACAGAAAAAATTATATCATTGTCTGATCAAGTTTTCAGTTCATATATATGGAGTAACATATAAAAAAATTATAATGTAAGAGGGGAGAGTAAGGGACCTCTAAGGTAGTAGGGTTTCTTCATTCTACTTGAAGAGGTTAAATGCTGCGTCTAAATAGATTTTGAACAGCTGTGTGTGTATATGTATGTGCATGTGTGCGTTTGTGTATCTCCCACATTTGATGCGGTAATCCTTAGAGCAGCCACTGAAAACCGCTGTACAGCATGGTGTAGTAAAAAATTACTATCGACACACCAAAATAGAATGTTAAAACATGTTGAGACAGTTCTCGGAAAATCAAGAAAGGTTAAACAGAAGAAGGAAAAGCAGGAGTAACAAACAAAAAACAAATAAAATCATAGACTTAAAACATGCCAATAATTATGTTAAGTGAAAATGATCCATGCACATCAATTAAAAACAATTATTGGGATGGAAAAGAAACTCATAAACAACTATTTGTTGTTTATAAGAAACTCATTCAAATATAATCACGTCAATAGATAAAAGTCAAAGGATGAAAAAATATGCTATGTAAATGCCGATCAAAAGAAGGTCGAGGGCTTCCCTGGTGGCTCAGTGTAAAGAATGCACCTGCCAGTGAAGGAGACACAGGTTCGATCCCTGGCCCAGGAAGGTCGCAGGCGCCCAGAGCAGCTAAGCCTGTGTGAGGGCTCCTGAGCCTGTGCCCTGGAGCCCTTGGTGCCTCCGCAGCCCCCGCAGCCCGCGTGCCCTCGAGCCCATGCTCCGCAACAAGGGAACCACTGTAATGAGCAGCCCTTGCTCCGCAACTGCAGAGTGGCCCCACTCGCTGAGACTGGAGAAGAGCCCACACAGCAACAAAGACCCAGCACAGCCAAACATGAATGAAGGTATTTAAAAAAGAATGCTGACTGGCTGTATTAATATCAGAGTAGTCCTCTGAGCAAGGAAATAACCAGAGAGACAGTATTTAATGACAGAAGCGTCAGTTCGGTGAGAAGGCACAGTGGTCCTAAATGTGTGTCGTGTTCCTTAACAACAGGGCTTCACGACATATGAAGCAACAACTGACATAGCTGAAAGAAGAAGTTGAAAAATCTGCAATTCTAGTTGGAGATGTCAACACCCACTGTCAGTAATAGTAGCAGACAGAAAATCAGCAGATGTGTAGCAGACCCGAGCAGCCCCATCCAGCTTTGTGATCTAAGTGATGTTTACAGAGCACTCCACCCAAAAGCAGCTCAGAGCACATTCTTTACAAGTGAACATGGAACAGTCACCAGGACAGACTGTATTCTTGGTCATGAAACACTCCTCAATAAATTTAAATTGGAGCAGACTTTGCATAAAAACCACAGACCTTCAATTTGTAAAATAACACTGTATCCGTGAAGCACAATAAAACGAGGCATGCCTATAACTATTTTTAAAATTTCAGCCTCCAAACTAAAAAAAAACTTACGGAAGCAAGAGTTTAGTACTCCCCAGAGTGAAAGTACAAGTTGCATCTGATGCCAGTTTCCTGGTTTTACTGGAACTAGTTTTCTGTTTATTGGATGAGCCCCGTGAACTCTGGAGGGGTGTGCCGTGTGAGGACAGCTTCTGCAGGGACGAGCAGAACTGGGGGAATATGGTGCAGATGACTGGACCTAGGAAGGGAGAAGGGGACCCTGGGAAGTTCCATGCATAGGGTCATACGAGAGCATATTTTACTGGGCCCAAATGCACACTCAGCAACTCAGTATTAAAAGGGTTTTTGAATACCCATTGGGTATAGAGTATAAGCATATTGTGGAGAATCACAAAGGAAGTAGAAAATAAAACTTCTCGTTTTGAAGAGAACAGAGAATTTGGATTTAGAATATTAGGGTTTGAAAACAAAGTTAAATGTCTGTAAAACACATAGGAAAGGATCTGGAGGAATCTATTCATTATGACGATAGAGGGGACTGAGAATGGGAGCGGGAAGAGAGGGGAAGTGTCTATTTTTTCTACTTTATTATTTTTTATCTTAAATATTGTGGACTTACTAGAATTTGGACAATAAGTGTATATTCATCTGTTACTTGTATAAACACAACAACATAAAGATTTGTTTTGAGTTTGACTGTCTTTAGTTGTGTGAGCTGAGGATGAATTAAATATTTATGTCATTGTTACTGTAATTTTCGGCTTCAGAGCTGGGAGTCTTAGAATCATTTGGTACAATCCCTGTGTTTTACAGATAAAGAAACAGCAAGATTCCTGCCCCAAGCCACATAGCTGGTTGCCTAACCATTTTGCTGTCTTCCTGTGTGGGGAGGCAGGGCTTCCACAAAAGTCTGGATTTAGAGGACAATAGAAACAGATTAACTGAGAGTTTCTTTGGAATTTCATAGTGACAATTGAGAGGTGCATCAGCTAGGTTTTGTTTGTTTGTTTGTTTTTTTAAATTTTTTAAAATTTTGGCCACACTGAGACATATGGGATCTTAGTTCCCCAACCAGGGATCAAACCCATGCCCCCCTGCAGTGGAAGTACACAACCTTAACCACTGGAGCATGGGGGAGGTCCCTCAACTAGTTTAGTTTAGGGAATGTCTAAGGTTTTATGGGAAGGTAAATAAAAATTAGTTTCGTGTCGTTCAGTTGCCCAGTTGTGTCTGACTCTTTGTGACCCCATAGACTGCAGCTCTCCAGACCTCTGTATCCCTCACCATCTCCAGAAGTTTGCCCAAGTTAATGTCCATTGCATCAGTGATGCCATCCAGCCATCTTATCCTCTGACACCCTCTTCTCCTTCTGCCCTCAATCTTTCCCAACATCAGGGAATTTTCCAGTGAATCAGCTGATCGTATCAGATGAC